ATGCCACTTTAATCTGAGCTTGGGACTTGGTGTCTCATGTGCTAACCTTAGGTGGTGGGGCCACCCAGGATCCTGTTCCCTGGTGTGCCCTGTGGACAGAAGTAGGGAGGCTGGGGACACACACGGGCACTGTGCCCCTGGGCAGCATCAAGCCAGGCTGGATGCCAGTGGTGCAGACAGTAAACGAGTTATGAAATGGTATTAGCTGTCCAAGTGGGCTGGGGGCAGAGTGGGTGGGGCTCAGCCCTCCATCCTAAGGCTCCCCATCCTTCTGTCTCCACACTGCCCTCCCCTAGCTGTGCCCTGGTGTCTTATCTGAGCCAGCAGCCCAGCCCCACCTCACACTGCCCACCCACATCTCCAGGCAACTAGAGCCTCTCCACTTGGCTGGGGGCGATAAGGCCTGCCCACGCACCCCAGCTGCTCTGCTTCAGGTGGGGGCTGACATCACTGGCTCCCTGGACCTGCAAAGCCACAGCCTGGGCACCTCTAGACCTGCTTCTGCTCCTGTTGCAGGCCAACCACTGCATGCTTGCACCAGTCACTGTGCTGGGCCTTTCACACAGCCTCTCTGCCCATCACACAAGCCCGCACCTTCCCCACTTAGAGATGAGGAAACTGTGGCTGTGAGAGGTTGACTTGCCAAAGGCCACCCATGAGAAGGCAAGTTGGAAATCCCACCCAGGCCTGTCTCAGGTCAAAGCCAGTGAATATTCTTTAGTGGGTCCCCAAAGATGCCACTTTAATCTGAGCTTGGGACTTGGTGTCTCATGTGCTAACCTTAGGTGGTGGGGCCACCCAGGATCCTGTTCCCTGGTGTGCCCTGTGGACAGAAGTAGGGAGGCTGGGGACACACACGGGCACTGTGCCCCTGGGCAGCATCAAGCCAGGCTGGATGCCAGTGGTGCAGACAGTAAACGAGTTATGAAATGGTATTAGCTGTCCAAGTGGGCTGGGGGCAGAGTGGGTGGGGCTCAGCCCTCCATCCTGGCCTCTCCAGTTCTGTGCACAGGGTGGCTGCCTGCAGAGCTCCCTCCCCATCCAGCTCCCCTCCACCCTCCGCTCCCTTTTGCTCCCTTTTTCTTTCCTTTCTCCTTTCCTCCCTCATCTCCGTTTCCCTTTCACACTCTCCCACTCCTGGCTCCACCCATGCAGTTACTGTAGCAACAATTCAGAGTCAGAAATAAAGGCAGGATCCAGCTAGGTCCCCAGTTCCCCAAACAGCATCCCAGGGTGGGTGGGTGGGGCAAGGGCAGCAGGGAGCAGACCGCAGGCGGCACACCGCATGTACAGGGGCACCCCAACTCACCCAAAGAGGACATGCAAGAGCAGGGGAGGGCCGTGCCCTGTCTAGGCTGGCCAGCTCCGTCATTTTCTCCTCCCCCACCCTCATTTTTCAGGCCTGCTCTACAGGGTAGGCTGACATGGGGCTCCTCTAATGCCAGCACTGTGCAGCGCCCTCACACTCTGGTGAAGCCTCAGGCAGGGCGAGCCCACCAGTCACGGCTCTTGCCTGCCTCTCCGCTCTTGCAGGATTGGGCCCGGGAGCCCTTTCTCCCCTCCTGCCTACACACCTGCTCCTCCGGTTTCTCTTCCATGCACCCTTGGGTTTCCACGCCCTTGCTTCACACCTCCCTCTGGGAAGAGGCCCCCCTGTCTGTGTCCCTGCAGCCCCTCAGGCTTGCTTGGTCCTCAGCATGTTCCTGCTCTGGCCTCTGCTTTTAGCCAGGCCTGTTGGTGAACTGTGGTGTCACTTGTACGAGCTGTATTGATAGGGCCGGGGAACACCCAAAAGTCTTGCACTGCAAAGTCAGCACTTGGAAATCTTGGGAGCTCCCTATTCTGATCTTTACACTCACACACACAAGCACACATGAGCTCTGAAGGAGGAATTCCTACAGACTCACACCCCAGGTAGACAGGCTGACCCAGGTGTTGGACACATGGCCTTGGACAGCCTGGCTGCACTGAGACAAGACCCCCATTTGGGCACAGACACATTACCCACCAGATGGAAGAGCCTATACTGAGATGCAGCTGCAGAGCCAGCTTCCTGGTTGCCAGCTCACACCCCACTCTCCCAGTGAGGCCCCCACACAAACACAACACGTGGTGTCGCTGATACCCACTCACATACCCCCACCCATCCGCCTCTCAGCTCTGGTTCTCCATGTTCAGCACCACCATACCACGTGCTGACTGTGCACGTGTACAGTGATATACACAGAGCCCCCATTTACCCATTCCCTGCGGGTATCCCAGGCATCCCCCATTCCCAAAGCACGACTGCCTTCCCCTGCACCTGTCCCTGCAACTCTGACCCCTCAGTCCTCTGGGAGGGAAACACACGGTGCCCCTGCCGTGGAAAGGGTGCTTGTCCTGCCAGGCTGAGGGAGGGTCTAAGCTCGCAAGAAGGCACCCCTGGGTCTTTGGGGGCTGTAAAGCCCTCCAGGCATCTCTACAGCCAGCACAGGAGAACACCAGGGTCAGGCCCGTGGCCACACCCTGCCACCCGACCTCATTCTGCAGTCGGCGCTCACCCCAACCTGGCCACAAGGGCTAGAAAGGGTCTTCACAGATCCTTTCCCCCAAGGGACGTGTCCCTCACCAACAGTATTCAAGCCTCTGTGTGACCTGCTCCCCCATCAGGGGTGTCTGTGGTGTGGTGGGAGGGAGGCTGGCAGCCCCTTACACTCCCCTCTCTGTCATTCAGCCAAGAAGGAACAGCTCCCTAGCCCTCCCCAGTGTCCCCATCCCATCACTTGGGTTTTTAGCCAACACAGCTAGGTGAGGGGGGCACTGGGGTGCCAGCATGGAAAGCCCAGCCCCTCTTCCCCGAATCAAAAGGAGGTCTGATCAGATTAAACGCCACTAGTGCTGGGACCTGGCCACCCAGGCCCGTTCTGTACAAGGGGCCATGGCTGACACCCTCCCCAGGGCACTTCTGCCACCATCCAGAGCCTTACTCCCAGGCAGGTGCTGTGGGAAGTAAGGGGAGGGAAGCTGGGAGACCCCTGCAACCTACCTTTTCCCAGACAGTGTGACCCAGATGCTCAGAGTCCCCAGGGCCTGTGCCGGGGTAGGGGCGGCCAGGCCGGTTCCCAGGGCTGCTGACGTTTCTCACAAGCTAAGGTAATAGGCGTCTCTTCTACGGATCCAGCCGCTCTTCCCCAGCACAAATAACAGGAAAAAAGCCAGCTTGGGGGGGGGAGCTGGCGAAGGAGGGGGCCTGCCCTCAGGGCCCCCACCCCCTCACCCCCACCCTGCCTTTCCAGAGGCCAGGCGCGGGGAGTCTGCGTCTGGGGCGGCGCGGGCTGCCCTGCACCCTCCCCAGCTCCAGCTGATAGCGCTCGGGGCCTGAGGGTGTGTTCTGTCTGCTCCTCCACCGCGCTCTGCAGCTCCATCCATTTCAGACACCAGCAGCATTAACCCGGCATCATGACGAAGCAGAATCGGAAGCGGGCTGGGCCGCCAGCGAGCGGCAGGCCGTTTCCCTTTCCCACAGTCCCCCACAAGAGGCAGCACCCCCTCACACACGCCCCCCGCACCTACCCATTAGCTGCCAGAGTTTGCACGCAGGAGTGGGCTTTACTGATATCCGAGGGCTGACCACACCTGGTTTCTCCAAGCACCTGCATTTCCCCCCCATCACCTCACAGCAACCACAGAGGCTTCAGGGGTGCCTGCCTCTCTTGGGTGCTAAGGGCTTAGAGCTCAGAATTGTCCTTTCTTGGGGAGGGAGAAAAGGCAAGAGTGTGAGAAACGAAGTCCTCAGTGCGAGGGGCTTGGGCCAGCCCTGGGGGAACCCGAGTCCCCTGGGAACCCAACAGAGCCACTGGAGGTGTGAATGGGAAGGATCCCCCCTTCTCTCCAGGGGAGTCCATCCAAAGGAACTTCCTGCCAGGTGACATCTAGGTCCCAGGACTACAGGGGGGTGCCTTCCCTGTCTCTGGGGGAACCTCCTCCACTCCAGGAACTTGTCACATTCTCCTGGTACCTCGCGGTTCAGAGCAGAGCCTGGTTCATTTGTGATCCAGCGGCTGGGCCGGGGAGGGAGGCCGGGCAGCTGACCCTGGCCCTGGCCTGTCTTCCTCCCCACCTCCACGCAGACTTGCCTACCTAGGCAGCCCCTGCCGTTGCCCTGGTAACCACTGCCCAGAGCGGTCAGCTGATGGTATCAGCTGTGCGGGAGGAAATCCAGAATCTGGGGAGGAGACTCTGGGGTGTCGGAGCGGAAAACCACAGGGGGAGGGCCTTGAGGGGACAGGTGAAAAGAGGACAGGAGGGGACAGGTAGGGACAAGAAGGGAGGGATGTGCCTGGGGTAGTCGAAGAATGCATCCTGAAGGATGAGGTCCAGGAAGAAAGGAAAAATGGGGAAGGCAGGCGGCTGAGTGACTGAAGAAGAATAAGAGACGTCCCTGCTTAGCTGCCGTGTTTGGGGGTGGGAGGGTGCTGTGAAAAGGTAGGAGAAAGCTGGGGGTTGGGGGGTGCCCAGGGTCCATGGGACCACGGAAGAGGGGCAGGAGATAATGCAGCAGGGGTGTCCCTCTGATGTGGCAGAAGGGGCCACAGCCTGGGAGGAGGGGAACCGCCAGGGCCCCAGCCGGCCTCTCGCTCTGTCCCTGCACCTGCCCCCTGCCCTGGCCCCACCCCGCGCGACCGGCACAGCCTCCCTCCACCCCTTCAGCAGACCAGCACCGGGTGCTTTCTGTCTCAGCCATATAGAACCCCTGGTTTTCCCATGGCCCAGTTCCTGTTCTGCTATCCCTCACCCCCCAGGTTCACCCAGGAGATTTGTCTTCCCGTGTAAGGGTGCCCACAGGTAGAGCTGGAATGAAAGGCTATGGACAGCTGTGGACAGGGGCCTGGAAGGCGGTGGCTCAGAAGGAAAGGGTAGGAGTCACTGGGCAGAGAGGAGGGGAGGTCTTCCCTGCTGCACAAGCCTGGCGGGGGGAGCAGGGGATCTGGGGAGAGGGTGGGGGGAGGGCTCCCCGGTACCTTCACGGGCCTGGGGCGTGGGGCAGGAGCACAGCAGCTTCCTCGGTGACATACACCTCCATCCCTCGGCGCATCTCCTCTCCGCCTCCCGTTGCCAAGACAACCTGCCGGCTCCATCGGCCACGGCAGGGAGGGGGAGGCAGCGGCTGAGGCTCCTATCGCCTACTCCTCAGTGATGGAGGGAGGAGGCCCGAGGTTGGCCTCTGTGCGCGCCTTGGGGGCTCAGGAGCCCAGGCACCCGTGGAGCCCCGCCATCGCCCCTCTCCCTGCTTCCCGTAAGGCTGTGGGATTGGCTGCGGGGGAGGGTGGATGCAGCCTCGGGAGAACCGAAACTCAGAGCTGGAAAGCAGGCCAGTTGTGGAGAGGGAGGTGGCACTGGGCCCCCATTCCAGAAAGCTCAGTGTGGAGCTGGGCAAGAGCAACAGGGACAGGGAGGGATGGCCTGTGCTGAAGGGTCAGAGGGTGACCTCCCGCGGGAAGGAGAGGCCCTGGGCAGGGCCAGGTGAACGTATGGCTCCCAGAAGCTCCCCAACCTGACCTCTGCTGTCTCTGATCACCTTTTAGTCCCAAGCCCTCTCATTCCCCTGGGCCCAGAAAAGAGTCAGAGCCTGGGAAAGAGCGCTCTTCCAGTCCCGGGGGGCCCATTCGCATCACCCCCGACTCCATAGGAAAGTCGTTCCACGGGCTGGGAGAGCCACCTTGGGCAGGAGGAGTCTGCCAATAGCCAGCCCTGCAACCAAGGGGACCGCAGAGTTAGGGCTCCCTCTGCTGACCTGAGGTGTGGTAGCTGTCAAGGTCATTGCTTGCTGAGAAGGATCCTGGTGTGTGTGCGTGCATGTGCCTGTGTGTGCGTGTGCGTGTGTGTTGGTGGGGCCAGGAGGGCACAGTCAGGCCAGGAGACCCTTTACTCTGCCATGCTCCACCTCCACCTCTTCTCTGCTCTCGCCCTCTGATAAGACTTGCTCTGCCTCCAAGGCCCTGCTTCTGAGAAGGCCCAGACTCCTCAAGGCCAGTGAATCAGCCTCCCTCATGGCTTGCCTGCCTCCGCTTCAGGCTGGCATGAGAAGGGAGGCACAGTTTCCCCCCTAAAGCAGGCAGCATTGACTACCATTGCCTATTGCCTAGGCCTAGGGTGGGCTTCCTGGGCACTGCTGGGTCATAACCAGTAGGCTGCAAACAGGACTAGCATACCTTTCAGATCAGGAGTGCCTCGAGGCCTTGAGGATGGGCGCCTGCATCCACAATAGGGGGCTGAGGCTCCTGCCTCTCTTGGGCAGGCAGTCCTGGCCCTAGACACCTAGTTCTCAGTTCCTTTGTCCAGCAAGGTCACTGGTGCCAGATGTCCTGACTGGACTCCAGCCCTGCAGCCTGCCCCCTTCCCAAGGCCCGTGCAAGGGGCCTCACCGTCCGCTCTCTCCTTCTCACTCCAGTGCCCCTTGCTCCACCCCCTGCACCAACCTGCCAGGGAGGGGGAGCCCCAGGGACACTCCCCCTGTGCCTAAGCCATCTAAACATTAACTCCTAGACAGGCTGACTGGGGTACAGGGCACCTAAGGAGTAAAGGAGGCCACGGAAAACAAAGCCAGAGGAAGAAAAGGGAGAGCAAGGACCTAGCAGAGACCCTTTCTCACCAGTTTGGAAGCCACACCCCTACCTCCCAGCACTGGACCCTCTGTCTTCAGGACCCCAGAGGCTCGGCCACATCATGCAGAACCGGACAAGCCTGTCTCCCAAAATTGTATCTGCTCCCTCCCCTTCTCAAAGCCCCTTTCCTCCTTGCCACAGCGCAAAGGCCAAACCTCAATAACTGAACCAGTCATTTCCAGCCACCTCTCTACGCAAATTTGCACTTCTAGCCAAACCTATTATCTTGGCTACCTTTTCCTGAACACAGGGCATGTTCTCCTGCCTTGAAGCCTTCCTTCTCATGCTGTTTGCACTCTCAGTATTTCTCCCCTTTTGTGTCTTTTCTGCTGATCCAAACCCTGTTTGTTCTTAAAGATCATGCAGCTCCCAGCCCTTCCCAGTGCCCCTACCATGGGAATTTTCCCTCCCTGCCACCCACCCTGCCCCTCAAGGCATTGAAGACAGGCCGGAATCTGGACTGTAATACTCACTAGCTATAACCAGGGATGAGTTAACATCTCTGAGTCTGAGTTCACCCACACATGATGTGGGAACAATCTTACTCCCTAAATAACGGGTAACACGTGAGCATGGCTTGTGAGCCGCCTGGCACATCTCTGGAGTTCTCTCTACACATTAGTGTCCTGATTTCCAACAGCTCTTACCTCCTTCTCTCGTTTGGGTGTACAAATGCTGCTTTGCTAGCTCAGATTTCCCAAAGTCCCACTAGACAACTGCCTTTGTATGGGTTTATCCTTCCAAAAAATGTCAAGTGTCTTGAGAACTTGACAGGGGATGATACTGTATATCTTGTCAATCCTTTTTATTAACTAAAGGGCTAGCAGTGCTTTACATGGTAGGGAGTAAGTAAATATTCGGATTTACTGCTTGAGACCCCTCCCCACACAAGTCCACCTGTGGTGCAGTGTGGAGGCAGGGTTCTGGCTTCTCATTCTGCTCCACCTGCAGAGACTGGAGGGTGCTAGGCTGGTGGCTTCTTTCTGGACCTTCCATCAGTTTCATCCTCCAGTAATACTCTTCAGTGTGCCAGGCTGTTCCTTTGGGGAAGGCAATTTCTACTTCTGGGGCATGTGCTCTCTAGCACGTAAACAAGAACAGTTTTGGACAAGCTATGATACATGCCAAGGAAGGGCGAGTAGTGGGCCAGAGACAGTGAGGACAGTCTATGGAGCAGAGCATTCTGGGGAAGGGTGTGCTAGGCAGTGGGAACCTCAGGATCCCAGGTGGGCACAGCGTGCCTGCTGGATGGCAAGGCTTGCAATTTCGCCGTCAGTCCTGGAGGGGAGTTGTCAGGATGGGCCTGGGAAGGGAGCCTGGACAGCTGGACAGGAGTCTTGAAAATCACACTAAAGAGTTTGCTAGTGATGGTGTAACAGAGCAGAGCTGTGGGTTATGGCTGGGTAAGGTAAGCAGAACAAACCGTGTGATGTCCTGGTGGGGGCTTGGTGGGGGGCTTGGGGGCAAAGAGGCCATTTAGCATGCGTTGCAGTAACTAAGACAGATCCCAGTGAGCTCTGGCAAAGGGGCAGAGCTCCAGGGCTGGGGAGAAAAAGCAGTCGTGTGCAAGGTGATGACAAGCAGAAGAACAAGGATAGAGTCGCAGAAATCTTAGGGAATGTTTCTATGAACAGGAGCCAGCAGAGAGAGGAGGCCCTGTAGCAGCAGGAGGATGAAGAAAAGAGAGCCTGTAGGAAGCAGGCTGAGGTTGTCTAGGCCTGTGAGGCTGAGGACACCTAGGTCTGGGGCAAGACTTTGGCTTGGTGACTGGGAGGTCACTGGCCATTGGAGTCTAGGGGACAGGCTGAACAGAGTGATGTAGGTAGAAGCTAGCTTTCTGGGACTACAGAGTGAGTGGATGTCCCCTCTGACTTCCTGCTTTGGCTACCTCTGCTTCACCTGACCGCTTGGACAGCACAGAGAGGGGGAGAGCAATAGGAAGGCTAGTCTTAGCCTGAGTTCTTGGTAACCCTAAAGAACACAGCCTTTGAGGCACACTGCCAGAACCTCCCTCCACTCTGTCCTCCCTAAGAGGACGCCTTTATCCTGCTCTAAGTCTCCCCCAGTGCCCACCTGCCTGCACACTTGCCTAGAACCATCAGGTGCACAGAGGCAACCAGCCCTGCTGTACCCAGACACAGGCGGGCTGCATCCAAGAAGCCTCCTTCCCACCATGCAGAGTGCTTGAAATCCCTCCGTGGTCCTTTTATCAGACATCTGTTCCTTTGGCCTCTCCCTTTTAGCACCTTTGAAATCACCACAGTTTAGAGGGGATGAGCTTAACAGACTGCCCCAGCGTATGAAGAGGCACCTGGGTACGGAGCCTGCATTCGGCAGAGGCACTAAAAGGCATGGTGAGGAGCTTCAGAGAGCCATGCCAGGGCCCGAGGCCACCAGGAGGACGCCATCTGAGGTGGCACAGGCCTCCGAAGCTGCCTTCCTCCCTCACCCGTCCCCACTCTCTGTCCGAACCTGCCAGATGTCACCTTAAAAAGCCAGAAAGGGAACAGTGAGGGCTTTCTGGAGCCGGCCCCCAGAGGCCTGACTGTGCTGGGGAGGTCACAGGGAGGGAGGGAGGGGCAGGAGAATGGCAGAGAAGAAAGGGCAGGCGAGACAAAGGGCCCTCCACCTTTGAAGCTGTCTCTAACCCGAGCCCGGGAGGGTTGGGGTGGGCCTGAGGGCCCGGCCAGGAGGCAGTCTAGAGCTCTAAAGAATGTCTCAAATTCCTGGAGAAATCAGAGGGATTGTAAGAGCTCCCCTCCCCAACACACCTCCTTCCCAGCCCCCCAAGTCCAGACTTCCACACCTGGGGGCCCCAACCCTTTGTCCCCAGGTAATTGCTGGGTGTTGCCCCTGCATTTAAAATCCCATTGAACTTGCCAGCTATCAGCTGTGGCTCCAGACCACCCTCCCTACACCCCCCCCAGAAACGACCCCCAACACATCTCCCGCAGTCTTCACCAGGATTAAGACTCTTTGTTTCTGGGTGGGTTGGTGGGGGCAGGGGGAGAGGAAAAGCAACCTGGTGGAAAGCAATTATGACGAGCTGGACAGAGAATGTCTGCCTGGCCCGGGACCTCCCTCCTGGCCGCTGCCTTCCACACTGCCCCGAGCTGGGGGTGTCAGTCTCTGCTCCAGCCCTCAGCGAGGGCGAGGGGCGGATGGCCCCAGACTCGGTCCACTCGGCCTGCTGCTTCACTCGCCTCCCGTTTTAACTCAACCACTCCCATTCTTTCCTTATTTTCAGGCCATTTTTGGGAAAAGTGAGAAGACAGGTCTTTCGTTCTTATTCTTCTCTTTCCATAACCCCCTCCCCGTTTACTCAGAAAGGAGAGGGAGGGGAAACTGAGGCTGGGTGAGGGCGGTCCATACACAGAAGAGGGGTCTCGGTGAGGGTGTTTCCTCTGAAGCAGTGGGTTTACGGCCCCCGAGCCCCACTCCCCGAGGGCACACCCGGAGGCGCGAGCGCAAGCCCACCCGCGCGGCCGGGGGCTCGGGTCGCCACCCTCCCCGCGCCCCCGGCCCCACCCCGGCCGCCGCCGCCCGCGCAGGGCCCCGCTCAGGTGCGGCCCGCCCGCGAGCCCGAGGCCACCTGCCGGCCCCGCTTCCCCTGCCGCCCGCCGGCCTCACCGGAGCAAAGCAATCTTCTCCGGGCCAGGAGGCCTCCGCGCCCTCGGCCTGCGGGCCCGGTGCCTCGGCTGGACGCCCGGCCCAGCTCGGATGCCCGGCCGCCCCCAGGGCTGGGGTTCTCTTCGCCCAACAGGTAGCACGGGACGCGCAGCGCGCGCCAGGAAACCAGAGCCCGCGCGCTGGGAGGGGCGCCCGGCCTCCAGCCCGCAGGGGGGCGGAGGTGCCCCGGGCCACCCGGACCCTGCTTCCCTCGGGCGGCACTGCCCCTGCACCTGCCGGCTGGGCCGGGCCTGGACGCTCCTCTCTCCCCGCCGGCACCGGGAGCGTCGCCGCGGTTCTTGCAGAAGCTAGTTTGTTACCAGTTACGTTTTGAGTTGGATCCTTCTACACCGCCTCTCCACCCCCCACCCCTTCGGATAACCCGTTTGCAGGA